CGGGGGCTGCGAACGCCCAGACCCCTCTCCCCACCTCTGCTGTGGGGCAGCTGCTGGTGGGATGGGGTTTCCCTTGCAGAACCAGCACCAGGGCTGTTCCAGGGCTTAAACCACCGAAGGAGTACAGGTCTAGACTGCCTCGGAGCAATCTTTCTGTCGGTACAACGCTGAGGAGACAGGGTGTTGGTGTTTTGTTGTGGTTTTTTTTAAAAAAAAAGTTATTCTACAAGCAAAGTAGGCGAGCCAACTGGCCACAAGTCCCTTCTTCAGCCCGCTTTCTCGCAGCGATCTGCAGGCTGCCACCCAGCAGCTTCCCCCGGCCTGGGCCAGCTCCCCCTCCCTGTGCCGGTGGTGGTCGGGAGGTGAGCAGGGTGTCCAGTGCAGAACCCCGTTTGGACAGCAGTAAAATGGTCTTCCCCTGCCCTCCGGAGGGAGAGAGCTCCTTAATTTAACCCCGCCTGGCCGAGGGAATGCGGCTATTCGGATGCCTCCCGACCTGCTGCTTAAAATGGCCTGATGTGGGTTTGCAGGCAGGAGAAAACGCCGTTTCCTCTGTGTACCTCGCTATTGCACTGGGGCCAACATCAGGGGGTAACTGTCCTCTCTTTTCACTTGCTGAGCTGCTTCTGTGTCTGGCATCGTCGGTGTGATACTCTTACTGCACACTCCCAGTTTCTGGGTTTTGTGGGGGACTTTCCATTTTCTTTGCTAGAACACGTGGGTCTGGTTACATCTGCTTTTCCCTCAAACAAAATACTTCTGGACAAATAAGCAGACCCGCCTTAAGATCCTGGATGAGGGCACTTTGGGGACTGGGGGACTGGAAGGGCGTGTTACAGCCGGGAGAGCTGGGTCCACTTCCCTGCGCAGATCCCTCGCCGCCCAAGCGCGGCGGGCTGGCTTGCAGCAGCTTTCCATTGCAACACTGGGTTTGTAAGCGAGATCTTGAATACATGGCAAGAGCAGTGGCTTCATTTCTCAGCCAGGTGATGACTGCGGTGTCACTGGAAGTCATCTGGCTAGTGTGACAAAAGCATCCGATGTCTCGCCCATTAGACAGAGGAGAAAAGCCGGTGCAGAGCTTCTGCAATTTGCGTTGCACGGGGAAGAAGTGCTAATACAGTAAAGCTGCTGAAATGTGCTGTCTCCTGTAGTGACGCAGCTTCTGGTGTCCCTGAGTGCTGGGTGTGTGCTTTGCGCCAGCTCAGAGCGTTGTGGGACAAAAGCAACTTTCTGCTGGTTTTTCTTGTTAACAAGCTGTCAAGGAGGAATAATACACTTGACTTTGTTTATCTGAGCCTCGGCTGATTTAAACCAAAACTTATTTAAATCCTTGGCTTATTTAAACCAACTTGACTTTGCCTCTTCTCTAATTTTCACGACATCAGTGCCACTGTCTACTCAAATACTATTTACATCTACAGACAGGATGTAACATACCAGTTCAGGTTTGATTTGTTTTGTTTCCTTTTTTCTATGGTAATACACTCAGGCTCAAAATAGGTGAGAGCATTTACAAAGGAAAAAATGCCTAGTAGGCATTTACAGCACTGCTGCAGGAAAATAAAAGTTAATTAATTGAGATGCATAACTTGTGTTTTGCATACAAGAACTACTGTGTGCTAACCGTCCTGTGCCTCTCCTGATGAAACGAAAACTTCAGAGTGGATCCCCATTAACAGAAAGCTCCATTAGACAGTTTCTTAACTGAGCTGCGGCATGCCTACTGAGAAGAGAAAAAGCAGGCAAGCCACTTTTTTGGAATGGGAGGAAAAAGGGGCAGGAACAGACAAACAAAGATTTGCAAATAGGAATGTCTGCTAAACTGCATTGCTGCTTAATGCACATTTTCAAATGCCACATGAGAGGGAAGAAGTGGAAAGGAAAAAAAAGAAGAGTGGGATGTCATTTGGTAGGGAGGCAGGGAAGGGATTTTGTTTAGAGCTCTGTGCTGGTTTGCATCTGGGAAGTACCTGGCTGGCAGGGTCTGTCTATTATCCAAGTGTAGCAACGCAGAGCTGTTGTACTGCACTATGATATGACTCAAGATGACTTAGTCTGGCCCACTGCAGGATTGAACTGTTGACTATGTGTTTAAAACTTATCAGTAAGCCATCAGATGTGACGAGGATCGTTTGCAATGTGGTTACTTGGAGAGGGTGGTTGTCTTTATAGTGATGAGGCTGTAAGCAGTATTTGTGGGTGGCTGTGTCCTCCTGGTTCTGAACGGCTGCTCCCAGTGACTTTGCTTTGAATTGTCACTGTAAAAGATGGGTGTGTATGTGAGCAATAAAGGTGACTGCATGCAGGTTACCTATTTTTTTATATTCCTAACAACCAGTTGGTATTCATTAAGTACACAACAGCCGACCTGGAATAAGGAAGCTTTCATCTGGATCCTTAGTAAGCACTAAAAAAAAAATAATTTTTTTTTTTTAAAAAAAGGTGGAACCTAGAAGTAGGAGCCCAGCCTTTGTGAATCATGTTTCACCACAGCTGTGCTGCTGTGCCGGTGTCCCTAGAGGCATGGACTTTGGTACCACAGATTATTGGTGAAGCTGAGTGCATGTGTTGACTTCACTGAGGGGCCAGGTAAATAAAGGAGGAATGTTGCAGGTACGCTTATCTTTTCAGTACACCTGTTTTCAGGCGTGCTTCTGTCCTATTTACGATGCCCAGATGTACTCGAGACAAACTAACTTAGTTTATAGTGTCAGCCGAGTGCAGGTGCTTGGCAAAATGCTGATGGAAAAGGTGTAGCAGTTGGTGTCCCTGTCTACACCCAGAAAACAGTTACTGAAACTCCCCGGTAAAAGATGCCAGCGAGCAGGCAAGGTGGGCATCCCTGCCAGTGGGCTTTGCTGGCCCCCGGGCAGGCGCGCTTCCACTGCTGGCAACCCGCACGCATTAGATGTTGGAAGCATGTAGGATTGTGCCTCTTCTGAGCTCCTGGCAGAGCCAAGTGGCTGAAACCAAGTTTGTACTAGTGGGCTTTTGTTTAATAGTTTGGTGGTGTAGCAATCATGTTTCCTGTACTCCTACAACCGAAACAGAGTTGTGATTCCCAGTATTAATTCCCAACCAGCTCTCCTGGCAACATTTGATTCTGGGCTCGTGGTGGGTATCCACACAGCTTCCCTTCCCCCGTCGTGCTGCCGTGGAAGTTTGCACATTACGTGAGCAAGAACGTATTACTGACAGCGCTCTCGCTCTCAGTCCACTACTCCCTTGTTTTGTCAACAAAAGCATATTTTTTGAGCATTCTATGTTGCGTGTCCTCAAGGCCAAACAGGAATTTCTACTGTGATTAATATACAGAAAAATATTATAGCTGCAGTGTAAAAACGTGCCTCATCTATGCATGTCATGGTAAGAACTTCTACCCTAAGATTCCAGTTATTCACAAGCTAACAAACTAACTTCTGCTTTTGTACAGAAGTGAACAAAGATGGGAAAGGCTTGTTACTTCAAATCCTGTAGCAGTTCATCTTCCTGCTAGACTATTTTCCCAGTCCTTTTATTAATTTCTACAAGGAAATCTATATTTAAATGTCCTATGCTGCAGAGCTTCTATCTCCTCCCTGTCAACGCTGAGGCACAGCCAAAGAAAATTAGGAAATACAGCTAACACTAAAGCTCTGTTGCATTTTTTTTTTTAGATTTCATCATACTACTGATGCTCATCATTAAATAATCTTGACCCCTCCTAGTTAGTTGCATGATAACATGTGCAGCTTAGTTCATTTCCATAGTCATTGTTAGTCAAGCTACATAATAAAACTCTTAATTGTTCCTAATAATTATAGACCTTCAGCCCCTGAACAGTTTGGGATTTTTTTTAATGTTCTTTCAACACCACCTAATTGATAAATACTTTTCTGCTGGTTAGATGCAAGGAGCTCAGCTCTTCTTTGAGGCAAAGCCAACCTGGGGAACACTAATACCTCCAACTGTTCTGCTCTCCTATTCTTCTGTTCTCCTATTTATGCAGCCCCAAATTACTATGGCATTATTATTTGATTTCATAAGCAGACATCATACTTATGCCTATTTTGAGTAAGAAATACTCTCTCTTCCAAATGAGGGGACCTGAGAATTGTCTGTTTTCATGGAAAACTTAAATTCTGCCTAAAAGTCTCAGGATTACAAGGTACTTCTGAGCACAAACCAGCTAGAAACTGGGGCTGATCTGTCTTTCTCTGGGTGTGAGCAGGCCTCTCCAGCTCTTAGGGCAGCAAACAGTGTGAGCATAAGGTGCCAGCTCTTCAGAGTCTCTGGGAGAAGGAGCCAGGACAGCCTGACTTGATGGGTGTGGGGATGAGGGGGATCCCGCACAGAGAAGCACCCATTTCGGTCGGAGCCCTGCAGCAGCCGCTCCGCTGCAAGCTGTCCCCGTTGGTGGGGGTAGCAGCAGTTTGTGTGGGAAAGCAGTGTGCCAGAGCTGCACCCTACGCTTGGTAAGGGTGCAGCCTCCCACCCCAACCTCTTCCATCAGCCACTTATTAAAAGATTTCTGGTTAATTTTTTTGAGATTTCTCTTAATGTGGTGTATGTATAGAAGTCCAGAGCTTTTCGCTCCTCTTCCCATGACTCCCACTGGTGTTCATGTGGCAGGCTGACCAGTCGATGGCCGTTGTCTAGTCCAGCCCAGAGTAGACCCATCCAGTGCCATGGCCAGTACCAATGACTCAGTCTTATCAGGTCTTATCAGTATCAACCCGCTGATAACTGCCACTGGAGAAGATAATCCAGCAGGAAAAGTATAGCAAGGTATGGGTTCACCAGCACTGAGCTCTGTCACATGTGAGCACAAAACCCACTTGATTTCATGTTGGTGGTGTCTACTACTGCCCTGTTTCTGAAGACCTGAAACAAAGCTGGACTTAATCTTCCTGACAAGACATCTCCTACAGCTACGTCACTTTCATATCACCAGAGACAAGAAAATAAACCACTGTGAGCGGAGCCGTGGCTGATCTGTGTCCAAAAGCTTGTTACTCTTGTAAAGTAAGCACTGAAGATATAGAAGTAGCAGAGAGAGCACTGGGGGCTTTCTGGCTCGTATCTCCTGCAGTCATGTTTCTGTTGAACCAAACCTCAAGGTGTCTAACCTGCTGGTATATTTGAGTTTGCAACCTATATTTTATTAGGCAGATGCCAGACTTGGTTTCCTACACTGTGGCAGCATATGTAATGCATCTGAAAGGGAATGTACTTTGATAACTAAGTGTTCCTTCTTCTTGTTGTCTTTTCCTCTTATTGTGTGTCTTTTTCTTAATAGGGCAAATACCGATAAATAGCATTCCTAGGTCATTTACCCTGAATCACTGTTCCTGGGCTGGCTGTGTGTAATGGTTAAAAATCCCTTTGTATTAGTTATCCCTAAATAAGTCCTATTGTGGAGACAATACCCAGTACCTGTATTAGGTATGTCAGAGAATATTTCATATGAAAAGATTTTACCGGACCACTGATGTAGCTTTAATCTCCAGACGCTCATCGGGTGTCCTCCCTCCCTCCCTCCTTTCTCACTCCGCAGCAGTCTCATAGTGAAGGGGTATGAAACATGCACAGCTGGCTGAAGGAGAATTAGTTTGAAGATTTTGTGCTGTCTTGAGTAGCTCCAAGAAGGGAGAGGGGAAAGAAAATCCTTCTCCTTCTCTTTTCTGTGCCACCATGGCTGTATTCAGGTGGCAGTGGTGGTGGCTGGGGGTTTTGGGCTGAGATCTGGCTGACCATGGCTGCTGTATTTCACTTAGCTATTCAGAATGATCTAATGAAAATAGCTGTAAAACAATGCTTTTCTTTCAGAGGGTAAGTTGATGTACATAGTAGAGGAGTCTGAGGTATTTTTACTGCATTCTCTGTCTCAAATTACTAGTTGCTCCCCGTTTATGCAACTAGTAGGGTATGTGAGTTAAGGTGGAGGATTTTAACTCCTTAGGAAAAGGTTCTCTGTCTCACTGTCTTTTTACTCTTAGTCTTTGCATAGAAAAAACAGAGGTGACGTTGAAAGCGGAGTGTCTTCAGAGTTGCTTCAGCTGTGTTGGAACAGACAGCTCTGATGAAAGAGAGAGGGGTTTTTTTCGGAATGTGTTCTGAGCTAGATGTCGACGGTCTTTTTATTCCTATGTTAGAGGGAGCACAGGATCTGGCCCTACCTCTGTCTGAACATGTGAAAGTAGAAACCCAGGTTTCCACGCAGAGGTGGGAAGCGAACTGTGATGACAGCTGACTGGAAAACAGAGCAGCAGCTGGTATGGTTTAGCCCGTGTGGGCAGGTACCCCGCCTCCAGGGCAGGACCACCTTTGCTTGGGTCTGGCCAGAATGAGGGCCTTTACACAAGCCCCTCTTACTTCGAACGGGGAATTGTCGGCTGTTTTTCTGGAAGGTTTTCTTTCCTTGGTTGTCCTGGCCTGCGGTGGGTGAGTTCTGGGTGCTGGCACTGCTCTGCTGGGAAAAGGCCACTTGCTTCGTGCCTGAGCCTCTCCTGCCTGCAGCTGCTTGATCCTAAGAATCTGCACCACCCTGTCCCATCAAATGCTAAAGTAATGATTCGAAGAGCACTCCCTCACTCTACCTCAGATTCTGCTGTTTCTCCTCCACCTGCTACATTTTAGCTGTTTGTAAAATTTTTCAGCTGTGAATACATATTTATCTTCAAGAGCTTTCTCTTTGTCATCTCTCACTTCAGCTATTCCAAATCTATCTTTTTTGGTCACACTCATTTTGCTCCACATGCATTATTCTTGTCATAAACAAACAGGCAAGAAGCTGCATGCTGACAGCACTATTATTTCCCAGCAGTTATGTCCTGCTGTGGTACCCTCTTGTCCGCTCTCACACTTCCCCATGCATGGAAGTGGTTTTGTAAACTTGCATGTCGAACAGGAGCGGTAACGACAAAGTACTTTCTCAGCAGTTGTGTGCCCTATCTGCTCAGATGTCTGTGTGTCTCTTACAGACACGGAGTTTGGAGGTGTTCGCTCCATTACCATGCTGCACTATATCCCTCTTTTCAGCTCCACCAACGATGCTGCTTCTCTGCTCTGCAGCTATGCCCTTGGGAGGCATCTGATATTGCTTCAACATAGAGCACGCTTCTTACAGTAACGGGTTTCAATCAAAAATGATGAAAGGAAACTGAAGACCTGCAATGACTTACAGTTCAGTGCACTGCTGTGGGTAACATCTTTCTTGTTTTCTCTTCAAGGATGGGGGAGAGCAGCAGCTGCCACGTACCTGGTTGGCTTCGTGATCCTGGTCATCTGTTTTGCCCTCGCAGTCATTGCGTTCTCGATTGAGATACTCCGCTTCAACTTTGTGCGAGGAATTGGAGGCTTGCTCTTTGTTGTTGGTAAGGCTGGGCACAAAGACAACGTTATGTTAGGTGTAAACCAGGCATCAGCAGAAAGACACACTAGATGGAGCCTCCCTTATGAAATAAGCTGTCTTTGTCTGGTTTGTGACTCATCTTCATGGGGAACAAGGGAAGGTTGATTTACACTCTGAGAGGATAATGGTTGGGGAAGCTCCAGTGGCCTTTGTCAGTTAGCGCTTCCCCAAAAGCAGTGTACGGGGGCAACCAACACCTCTGACCCTGCATATCACGTGCTGAGACTTAGGAGCTGAGAGCGCCGGGTGCGTCCCACCTTCCTGAGGGGGGGAGCAGCGACGGGGCTATGGTAGAAGCGGGAGGTAACCGGCTCCGCAGGGATCACGGTGCCTGGCTGTAGGACAGGGCTGGTTGTGCCACGCAGGTGAGTGCCTTCGCAACTTGGCAATGTCAGCTGGGTCTGCTGCAGCCCAGTAGGCGTGGGCATCTGCCTTGGCCAGGAGTCGTGGTACCTCTGCAAGAGTGCAGATTCGGACTGAAGCTAACCCTTACATATCTTAAAAGCATATGCAGTTACCTCTAGCTACTTTATTTTTAGTGGGACATATAGTATCATTCATTGTCATTTACTTCTGCTTTTCTTTCTTTCTTTCTCTAGCTGCATTCCAGATCATAGGCTTGGTCATCTACCCAGTGAAATTCACAGAAGATATTCCACTGCTGGGAGATAACATGTTCAGCTGGGCCTATGGCTTTGGCTGGGCCAGCACTGTTGTTGTAATCGGTTGTGCTTTCTTCTTCTGCTGCCTCCCCAACTGGGAAGATGAAGTCCTGGGAAACATCAAGCCTACCTATTACTACTCCTCCCCAGAGAGAGCACCATACTTAAATTGAAAGATTACATCCAAGTACAACCAACTGTCAAAACAACAGAGGAGCACCTCTGATGTAAATTCGGTGCTATTATAGGAGACTGAAAAAACCCCACTTTAATTCTCCAGAGTATTTCTTAGTAGCCCTAGCAATAAATTAGTAAAAACATTGGCATCTTTAAGTAAATAGCTTTTACCTAAAGTATTATTTACATATTCTCATGTTGTTTCTGTTTGAGTGGTTTACTTGCTCCTTCCCCTCCCAGCTAATTGAGTTAGTTACTTTATTCAAACATTTGCTTATGAATAAAGACATAGTGTTCCAAGTGTAGAAAGGAAGAAGAGAGGTTTAAAAAACTTATTAGAGGGACGTGCAAGTTTTTTTTTCACCACTGACAAAATTGCCTTATATGGAACTAGAAAAAACAACCTTCCAAAGAATGCTTTTTCTTCCACCAATGTCAGTTCCAAGGAAGAAAATTCCCTGAGACTGTCACAGTCACCTGCTGCCTAAGAATCTCTTCTCATTCCTGTTACTGGATTATTGTTGACTATTACCTATTTGAATCAAGGGGAAAATAAAATTAAAATTTATTTTCCACCAATGGTGCTGTTGGACAGAGATCTCCTCTGAAGTGTGGAGCTGGTGTGTACAACAGTGGCTAATGTAACACTTACTGGTGTTTTTGTGGCCACTGCAGGACTCGTGATGGAGCCACATATAATTTAATACGCATTGTCACAGAGAGAATCAATAAACCTCCAAATATTAAACTACATACATTCTTACATGGTATTTGAGGGATGCTGATTTAGAGAATAGCTTTGAGTGGAAACATACACTGTTCTTTATGTCTACCTTTTTAAAACTGCAGTGTTTTAATTATCAGCCGTGCTTTGGAGGGAAACCTTAGCATAAGGTGTTGAAAACCTCCAGAAGTTTCTAAAGCCCACTGTAGGTACTCCAGAATTTAGTAAACATGGGGATGCTTTGTGAGTCACTAGGGGTAACAGATAAAAATAGAAAAGCAGTTCTGTGAGCAATTTACACATGCAAACTTCATACAGACATCAGTCTGGGGGAGTAATCTGGCTGGCTCCAAGCTTGTGTTTCTGGAGCTAGTGAGTCCAAAGAAGTATTCCAGTGAGGCAGAGCTGTGCCTGTGTTGGTCATGGGCCTGCAGCAGCTTACAGCAGATTTAATTATGGTCTGTAATCTTTGTCAGAGTTTTTCTTCAGCTGGGGAAGAAGAAGGAAGATGCTCATTTGTGGAGCTCCTCTTCCAGCTGTGCGGGAAGTAGCTCTAGCGGAAACAGATTTCTGAGCAGGGTACAGGTGGGGTGGAGAGCAAATGCTGTAACAAGTAGCTGGGGACTTGGTCCTTTGAATTGCAAACCCAGTACTTGGGAGAGGATAAGTGTGTGGGTATATGTGTTCGTGCACATGTATGAAATAGAACTTACAAAGCATTAACCAGCATACTGTAAAGCTGAAGTCACGCAGAACTAAGCTTTTTCAATGCCCAATATGTCTTGTATTATATGTTGTACAGCTTTCTGTTTTGTAACACGTTTTTTAGTTTGGTAATTCTGTGTATTGCATGTGATCCTGCTTTGGAAAGGCCAGGTGACTTCTGAAGGTCCTTTCCAGGCCTGTATTTTATAACTTTACAGAGTGTAAACATTTTCAGACTTCAGAACTGTGTTACAAGCTCAGTTGTGACATATACAATCAACTGTATTTATGATTCTTGCTGAAGAAGAGAATCCTGTGACAAATTCGTCTTTTTTTTTTTTTTCTGTGCAGTACTGACTGGTGAGGAATACTGTGGAGACTTATCTGTGTCATGAGTAACGATAGTACCTACTTTCTAGTGAATTCGTGACACAGCAGAGAACCCCAAGTCTGGAAAATCCTTGCACAGCTAAAGCTGAGAAGGAGAAAAGACATGAGAAAATGGACAGCCTTCCTAATGAGAGGGAGAATGGTTTGGTAATAGGGTTTAGCATAAATTAAGTCTTTTGTATATTATTTTTATAAGCATTGTGATAACTTGTCAAAAAAGCACAAAAGTAAAAGAGACTTGGCTCTGAATATACTGGGAGGGGTGGAAGCATAACCAGCATGTTACACAATTAAGATGTTCAGGAGAAAGCTATTGCAAATAGTCATTAATTACTCTCAAGTGATACTCATGTATGTGGCACTCCTTTCAAACATGGTGGCTTAATTAAAACTGTTTTAACTGATGGTTGTAGAAACTTGGTGTTGTTTGTGGTTCACAGATTCATTTCACAAACTCAAGCAAATCGCCATTCTTTACTTCTCCTAACGTGTACATCAGTATCCATGAAGTGTCGGGATGATGAAGTGAAGCTAAAGACCTTCTGTGTCCAGGAGGTAACTACTTCATTTTCCAGTCAAATAAGCATATGCTCCAAGACACGGCTGTGTGCTTTCATCGGAAGTGCTAGGCGTAGAAAATTCTATGCTAAGCCAAAACCTCTTAAATGCATCACAACTTGAAGGGGAACCCTAAACATGTGAAGAACATTATGGCCTACAGGAGGTCTCAGATGTGGGAAGCCTGTTCTTTTTTTTTTTAAATCAAAACTGTGCCAAATAGCTTTCATATACAGATCAAGAACTTTAAATAGGGAGAAAAAGATGGATTACTCACCTGCTATTTTTGGTGTAAGACTGCATTTCCCCCATGCTTGGAAACCTTCCCATTTCTAACCTCAGAGTCTGCGTGGCCCATATGTAGCCCACTGCTAGTGGCATTCTGTATCCCAAACAACTCTTTCTGCCTCTGTTTTCATAGAGAGCAAATCTGTCTTAAGTCAGCCTGCAGCTTCTGTTTTCTGGAAAGACAGGTTCACAATTCTCCTGATTTTTTTTACCTGCCCTCTTCCTTAAATGTCTTGGTTTTAAAACACATTTACTACTCCAGATTCTGGTGGCTTGTTTGGGTTTCTTTTGAGTTTTTTGTGTTTTTTTTCCCCCGTCCTTTAATTACTCGTAAATGCACAGTTAGGGAAAATATTTTGTTCCTTTTAGATTTTCCTAAATGCTTTGAAGATTTGATGGAGCACTGGAACAGGGTGCCCAGGGAGGCTGTGGAGTCTCCTTCCCTGGAGATATTCAAGACCCGCCTGGACAAGGTCCTGTGCAGCCTGCTGTAGGTGACCCTGCTTTGGCAGGGGGGGTGGACTAGATGACCCCCAGAGGTCCCTTCCAACCCCAAACATTCTGATTCTGTGATAATCGGAGGGCTTGTATAAGGCCCATTTTTTTGACATGAAGAACATTTGTACTATTGTTTACCTACCAGTCTGTATTCAGCTGCAGCCCAATTTTGCGCTCACAAAATGCCCCTGAAGCACTCCAGTGGGCTTCAGACTGCAGGGTAGCTCCTTCTAACCCAACCCTGGAGAGGAGAGAGCAGTTAGGGAGAATCCAAGCTCGCTTGGCTCTCGTCTCAGAGGGAGTAACGAGCAATCAAAAACGTGTGTGACTGGGTGCTAGGGAAGGCTAATTGACTCCAATGAGATGATTAATGCTTAACTCTCATGAATATTGGAAACAGCTGCCACACCCCATGGGGATTTCGTGTTTTTAGTTGATGTAACAAGTGACTCATTTTTTAGACAAATCCTTGGCAAGGTAGAACTCTTAAAAAGTATTCAGATGACATTTACATCCTGCATCTAAGGACTTTTGGACCTAGAATACATACATAGATCAAGACAGTGTAGTAACAGATCATTCAAGATAATTTTTTGGGGGGGAAGGGTTGTTATGGTGATAAGCATTACAGAAGAAAACCCACCCACATACTAAAAGGAAAGGTTATACACACACAAAAAAGAGTTACTGAGGTCATTGAGCACTTTTGAATTAATGATGAACACAGCACATACATCAATGAAAACCAAATTGCTTCAGGAGACTCATAAGAGCTGAGAGAGCTGAGGTACTGGTCCCACAATGCAGAGAAGTGGAATTTATTGGCAATATGGAACAGCACTCTGAAAAGACGGAGTTTTCACTGCTAGTACGTGAAGCTGCACAGATTTTAAAATGAACTTGGGAGATGATACTCAGAACCAGAATAAAGTGTAATCAAAAGTGGAGGATACGTTTATGAAAACCAGGGATGTTCAGTTTCTGAATGCAATACCTGTAACAGGTGTCTGTACAGGAGTAGTGACATCCATGTGCATCCAAGGGTGTGGGCCAAGCTACTCCAGCTACGGAGCTTGACATCCAGAAATTCCAAGCAAAAAGCCAATGCCATAAAATTTTGCCTCTATGACACTATATTTAAATTACTTGGGTATTGTCAGAATAATCCAAAGGGTATTTTTAATTGTGATTTTTGAGTACCTAAATTTAATAAGGCCTTATTTATAATAAAGAATGTAGTGGAAAACATGCAGGCATATCTAGAAATTTATAATATAAATATTATAACTATAAATAATATAAATGAGTAATAATAATGTAGGATAAGCAAAATGTGTTGTATAATATAAGTAATAAATATACGTGTTTCCATGAATGATATTCCTCACAGGTTCGTGTTTGCAGGATTGGGTAATATTTACTACAAGAATTGGTATGACTGTTGCTTTTTATTTATTTATGGGATTGTGGGCAACGCAGACTATTTTCCGCAGAGATCTTTACGAATACAGAATATTTTATAAGTATTAAAAATTGCGAAGAATCAAGCGGATGCACTGGAAACCAAGGTTCACTGAGTTTGAGAGGGCCCGGAAAGGTTTGGAGGGAGCATTCACATGAAGCTGTGAGCCTAGAAGCCAGCTAGCTCTTCTCCTCCAGTGTGCTGCCCTGGGAAATGATCATGGATTAAAGTACGTTAGTTGACTGTCATCGTCTTGAATACACACAGAGGCATATAAATGGGACAGGTGCTGACACGCAGCCATTACAATCCCTGTTCAGTTAATAGCCTATTTTTAGCTCTCTTTGTGTTAGCAATCCCATGGGACAAGACACAAGCAGAACTTACCATGAAAAAGGAATTTAGATGAATCACGGTACTTGAAAATTAATTTCTGTTCTGATTCACAATAGAAAGACGTAACAACTTGCAAAACAGAACTTGGGAAAAGAATCAGTGGCGTTTTGAATCAAGACAATAAGAACAGTTGAAAATGTTGATAGGAGACCACCATTTTCATTTCAGCCCACTTCCCAAATCAATTCCATATCAAACATTTAAAACTTAAGACGTCATTTCCATATAATATTGTGTTCTCAGTGAAACCCTGCTTTTGGCTGGAGAATCTCAAAGTGAAAATCCATGGCTGAAACTCTTAAAGATATGCTTGGTATGCATGTCTTATCTGTAAATCTCGAAGTGCTTAAAGAAGTAGCTGGTGCTGTTCCCAACTGACCCACAAGGCACGGTAAATGACAGCCATTTCTTTGACAGAGAAATGCAAGTAGCAAAGGTGTGGCCCCCGGGAATTACCTGCTTAATGCTGATTTTATTCCTCTCCGAAGGCAGCTGAGCTATATGTTTTACAAGGAGTTGTTACTGTTACGATCCACTACCATGGGACAACTATTCCGTTAGCCTAGCTATGCCACAGAGAAGTTGTGGGGCTCAAAGAAAGTAGTTTAAGTAACATTATCCCAGATGTAGAACAGAGCTGCACTGTGCCACTCTAACTGCTTAAACACCATTTCATAAAAACCCTGTATGCTTGATGTGTGCCCACTGGAGAGCTTGTGCTCCTGACAGAAGTTACAGAACCCCGCAATGGTTACAAATGGTGAGAAGCCGTCTGGGCTGGTAGCTTCGTGGTGGGTTAACAGGACACCCCTGGTTTCAGATGTTTGCCTGGCAGGGAGGGCTGAACTCACCACACTTCTGCAGCGTATGGGTAAGAAATAACTGGGTGTTCTTGTTCCAGTACAGATCCCTGAAGAAACTGTCCTTTAGCAAGAACTGGCTGAAAATGAAATCCACGCTTGGGTGCACAGAGACTTCTGTGTCTTCCTAGTAGAGGAAGCCAGCGAGTGCTGCATGTGGAGCAGGCTTTGGAGGTCCGACTGCAAGCCGGCCCTGGACGGCTCTTGCTAAAGGTGTTAACAAGACCCTGTGGCAATTTTCCTCCATGCTCAGTGGCCAGCAGACAGAGCAGGTCTCAAACCTCTGCAGAGCTTTCCTGCGCCGTGTGAGGCAGCTGGAGGAAGGCTTGCCCAGGTGCACGGCAGCAGGACCGAGCACCGGCCACTCCTGGGTCACTACAAGCATTGTGGGTGAACCTCAGTGTCCAGCCACCGTGGAGGAGTCCCTCAGAAAGGCCCAGTGTGTGGGAAGCTACAAGATCTCAACTGGCTTCATTTTTTTAGGAGAGTGTTCTTATTTTGCAATGAAGTACAGTCAGGTCCTGTTCAAAATGCATTTCCAGTATCCTCCTAATTAACCAAAAGGAATTGCAGCTTGGATTACCCTGTGAACACTTCTAGTGTCTAAAGGTATTTTTCTACATGTGCTTGCTATGAATGAAATATTAGTCCCATTGAGAACACTATTGCCTTGGTGCCCGGGTGGTGCAGGGTACAGAGAGTGACCAGAAGGTACAATTTAGCCCGAGTAGGATTTGGCTGAGTTGCGTCACTGTACAGGCTGTAGTTATAACAATAACTGCAGTGCAATATTCCAGTTGCAAGGCAAGGTGCAGCCCTCTCCAAAGGGAAAAGGCACATTGGCATTATCGGAAAAAAAGGACCTATGGTTATAAATGTATGAATAGAAATGATAATAGTCATAAGTTTTATGATAGCTCATGCAGAAAATATTTCTCGATTGCTCAGCGTGACTTGTTAGGTGTAAGATAGCATAAAATAATCTTAGCAAAGCTCTTTGAAACCAGGCTCTGGGGACTGCTTCTCTATAAGCAGTAGGAATAGCAGAGAATGAAAATGAGCTAGCTGCAAAAGTCACGAACGTGCACAACAGCTGGTCAGCCTGTTGAGCCATTTATACAGCTCAGATGGCCAGGTCAGCAGACTGTAGGTGGAAGAAAATGTGCTGCCAGTCATTTGGTAGCTGCTTCTTCCACTAAGAAAACCATTTGTCTCTGGGCTGAAAAAGGCATGTTTGTATTTTTAGCTCTAATGACGTAGAATTGTTGTTTTATCAATATCCTACTGCTTACATGATTACTTCAAGTAGCGATGAAGATTCATGAATGTTTTCAGATGCAGAAAGTGCTACAGTCTACCAGGTTTAACATTGATGTTACATCTTCATTTTCAACAGATGATTCTGGTGTTAACCGGTAGGGACTATCGACAGGTAGTGGAAAGGAGAAAGCATTTGCTTTGATGTAAACCCCCAGCTCATATGCTGCAAAATACAAAGCACATTGTGGGTAAGTCATCACTTCAAATCACGGGCTCCTTAACAAAAGTTTTCAATTTTTTTTCTCCTGTTTGCCATATGAGTGTCAGAATTACACAAGCTACTTCATTTTGTCACCTCTGAATACATCTACCTCTCTGCTATTGCAGATATCACAAATTACCCTTGTATTTAACATGAAGATTGCTTGTAGTTTGAAGTTACTTCAGCGTGACAAAGATGGGCAAGATGCAGAAACACCCACGGTGACTGAACACTACTCATCTTTCTTTCACGGAGTGATAAGTGTATTACAGAATCACAGAATCACAGAATAGTAGGGGTTGGAAGGGACCTCTGTGGGTCATCTAGTCCAACCCCCCCGCCGAAGCAGGGTCACCTACAGCAGGCTGCACAGGACCTTGTCCAGGCGGGTCTTGAATATCTCCAGAGAAGGAGACTCCACAACCTCCCTGGGCAGCCTGTTCCAGTGCTCCGTCACCCTCAGAGGGAAGAAGTTCCTCCTCATGTTCAGACGGAACTTCCTGTGCCTCAGTTTGTGCCCATTGCCCCTTGTCCTGTCACTGGGCACCACTGAAAAGAGCTTGGCCCCATCCTCCTGACACCCACCCTTCAGATATTTGTAGGCATTTATAAGGTCCCCTCGCAGCCTTCTCTTCTTCAGGCTGAACAAGCCCAGTTCCCTCAACCTCTCCTCGTAGTGGAGATGCTCCAGTCCCCTCACCATCCTTGTAGCCCTCCGCTGGACTCTCTCCAGTAGCTCTTCATCCTTCTTGAACTGGGGAGCCCAGAACTGGACACAGTACTCCAGATGAGGCCTCACCAGGGTAGTGTAGAGGGGAAGGAGAACCTCCCTTGTCCTGCTGGCCACACTCTTCTTGATGCACCCCAGGATCCCATTGGCCTTCTTGGCAGCCAGGGCACACTGCTGGCTCATGGTTAACCTGTCGTCCACCAGGACACCCAGGTCCCTCTCTGCTCTCCAGCAGGTCCACCCCAAGCCTGTACTGGTGCATGAGGTTGTTCCTCCCCAGGTGCAGGACCCTGCACTTGCCCTTGTTGAACCTCATCAGGTTCCTCTCTGCCCAGCTCTCCAGCCTATCCAGGTCACGCTGAATGGCAGCACAGCCTTCCGGTGTATCTACCACACCTCCCAGTTTGGTGTCGTCAGCAAACTTGCTGAGGGTACATTCTAACTCTTCATCCAGGTCGTTGATGAAGAAGTTAAACAAGACTGGGCCCAGTACTGACCCCTGAGGGACACCACTTGTCACCAGCCTCCAACTAGACTCAGCGCCGCTGATGACAACCCTCTGAGTTCTGCCATTCAGCCAGTTCTCTATCCACTTCACCGACCACTCATCCAGCCCACACTTCCTCAGCTTCCCCAGGAGGATATCATGGGAGACTGTGTCGAAAGCCTTGCTGAAGTCAAGGTAGATAACATCCACAGCTCTCCCTTCGTCTACCCAGCCAGTCATGTCATCGTAGAAAGCTATCAGATTGGTCAGGCATGATTTCCCCTTGGTGAATCCATGCTGAATTCAGTGGTATCATCTTGCAAATGCTAACATTTGTGACAATATGCATTGGTCCAAGGCTGAGTTATGATAAAAACTGATGACAAATCCTTCAGTCATAGATGCCTACCTGAAACATGGCTGAGCATTCAGAAACCAAGGAAGAGGATTTTATTCTTCAGCAAACACTGGCTCTCAAATACCTGACAGTGCTTTGCTTCATACTGGATATCAGCTACAAAATCGCTTTAAATTGATTTGGCTGTTTTCTCTGAGGAAAAAAAAAAAAATTGAGTTTTGAGAAAACCGTATTCTTGAAGGACTGAAACTTGGCAAGACACCGGATATAGACAGCTGAGCAAGGGCTACAGTCTACTGCCGCATGCATGAGTACTTCTGAAGTAATCTTTTAAAAAACCTTTAGTATCCAAATCAAACTCTGTGTTCTCTCAATCTTTTGGAGTTTATTGTGCCCATCTCTACTTCAGCTGTGGCAACAGAAAGAACACGTGTAAACAGACCTGGACAGCTTGCAGGTACCAGCACATTGCACTAAGTGTGAGCTTCAGACGATATTTGTTTTAATATAAATGCTAACAAAAAATCATGCATAAAAATTGATATATTACAATGTTATGGAACTCGTAGATCACAGAATCGCAGAATGTTTGGGGTTGGAAGGGACCTCTGGGGGTCATCTAGTTCAACCCTCCTGCCGAAGCAGGGTCACCTACAGTAGGTTGCAGAGGACCTTGTCCAGGTGGGTCTTGAATATCTCCAGAGAAGGAGACTCCACATCCTCCCTGGGCAGCCTGTTCCAGTGTTCCATCACCCTCAGAGGGAAGAAGTTCTTCCTCATGTTCAGATGGAACTTCCTGTGCTTCAGTTTGTGCCCATTGCCCCTTGTCCTGTCACTGGACACCACTGAAAAGATGGCATTTTAAACATTATATTTAGGTTAATGATAACTGAATCTGTAGATAGTACAAATGTGGACATCATGGGAAGATAGATGATACTCTAAGGAAATGGTGGTTCCCTAAAGTGTTCTTTACAAAAATACTTGTGAGTGTCCCTTATTTCCAACCCAAAAAAGCAGCTGAAGTGTCTTCATAGTTGTCTTTTGCTTTAAATGACAGTAAAATTCAAAGGTCAAATCTGTAAAAATGTCTTCTGCTCTAACAGAGAGACTTGTGGAACACCCCTGATGGACCTCTCACAGCCACAGGGATATTGGGCCGTGTCTGTACTGCGGCGAAGCCGCTGGCAGGAATTCCAGAACTGCACCGGCGATAGAATGAGAGGCAAAGCAGCCGCACCACTCCTAATCTACCACCAGGTAATCTAGGCTGATGAGAGATAAGGCGCAGTGTCACCCTAACCCGTTCCAACTGCTTTCATGATGGAGCTGCTACCTTCTCACGGTGCTGCAGCTCATTGCTGTGGATGTTCCAGTGTGGGTCCATGCAAGCTGAACGCCTCTTCATGCCCTCCCCTGTACTGTGTCTAAATTAAAAGGAAATTATTATTTTATGTAGTCCATTATTGATTTACGAATATTAATTCAGCAAAATGCTGTGGAGCGTGCAGTTCAGTACGGGTGTCACATGTCAGTGTGAAAGCTGCAATATAGTAGCAAATCTCTGTGAGTAAATAAGCTCTGTACTCTGACAAAATCCACTATGGGAGCAAAGGATACTTTGCCTCCTCTGTGCTTAACTATGATTCACAGACACCAACTTCAATCCGCAAGGCGTGCAGCTGCTTCCAGATGTAAACGCGTCTGGGTCCTACCAAAACAGTAGGTTGTAGCATGTGTTAGTTCAAAGGAAGAGTGCTACAAACGTGGCTGTACCGCTCCTGAGCTGACAGACAGAAAGCTCTGCCCCGCGCTCGGCTGGGTGGGCTCCTGGGGCATGGTGGGGCAGTGGCTCATCGTCTCTGTGTCGGCTGGGCAATGTCTCATCATCTCTGCGTGGGCCAGGTGATGGCTCACCTCTGCGTCGCTCCCGCAGCACGCTGCAGGCAGGGTCTGGCAGGCCCCAGGCCACAGCCACACACAGGAGTGTTCATAAGGCACGGTCAAGTCAGAGCTTGCTTTTTGTTCTCCCACTAAGGCTACACCCAGACCATACCATATTTTTAAAGGTAAACATTGTTTTTTGTTTTCCCCCTGCAGCTATGTCCGAAAAAGGGGAGGGAGGGCAGTCACGTGTTCTGTATTGTTTTAGCTCTATAGCAGCTAGAGGAACTTTTTTCCTAATTGTAAAAAATAAGGTATCATTTTATTTTTAAATGGAGTCCAAGAAGAGCAGCTTTCAACCTCCAGGTGGCAAGTTTCAGAAGCAACCACCCTGTAATGCAAATAGTTCCCTGGCTTGTCTCCTGTATTTGCCTGCCTGAATGCAAATCCCTGAGGAAGCAGAAAGGTGTAAACACAGCTGTGAGATGCTCCTGCTGCTGCTGGGGAGTGGCAGGAAGGAAAGCGTTAAATGCCGAGGGTAAACAGCACCCGATTTGTTACCTAGTCAGCAGGGCAGAGAGGATCCCACAGATAAACCCAGCCTCAAAGCTTCTCCCCAGCTCAACTGGTTATTGCTCAGCGGCAGCTCTTACTCATCCGAACCTAGGCGGAGCTCCCTCCCTCCATCCATCCCTCCCTCCCTCCTTCCTTGACACGTGTCTCCTGATTGAAAAGCTTTTCTCAAACATCTGCACGCCCGCTCGCAGGTGCCGGCGCTCGCTTCCCAGGAGCTTTGCAGAAGCAGCCCTCGCTCCGCCTTGCCGAGCGGCTGGAGTCGCAGACCTTGCCCTACGTGCAACAAGCGTCGTTATGGGAGAGCTGCAGGAGGTCTGGGCAGGGTGGGGAGTGGAGCTGCGAGTCCCTCATGGGTTACGGTAAGCGCCTGCAGGGGTGGTGGGGAGCAACCTTCAGAGCAGAGGCTCATGTCTCCCGGCTTGTCTTCCCTCGGCTCTCCTAACCCTGTCACCTAATATCTGGCATTTATACACAAAGTTATGGGCAACAGGGACTGTCACTGAAATACATCAAGGCTTTTTGACTAACAAGGTGAAGAAGAAAAACGCCCTTACCCCTGTGCAGAAAGAAACCTGGTTGCTTTAGATGGTGGGTTGCTTAGCACAAAAAACCCACACATGGTAACGTACCGGTGCAGAAAATATTACAGCATTTAAGGTTTTCGTCCTCTCTTGGAAGAGACTAGTAACCTCTTCTCGCTAACCACTGCTTTCTAAAACTTAACAGCTACTGCTTCTCAAATGTTCAAACAGCAAGTTGCGTGGGTAAGCCTGGCATTAGCCTGATAAGCCAGTCCGGAGTGCCAGCAAGAAATGGGGAGGTAAAAATGTGCGATGGTAGGAAGATATTCCCAGGGAGTGTCAGTCTGCAGAATGCTGCCCTGAAACTGCTCCGGTAGGTAGGTCGTGTGAAAGAGTCTCCTTGTGATTATGAAAGAAAGCTTTAAAAGATGAAAGGATCTCTTGTTTGAGCTGAGTTTTGGTTAAGTATGCTATTAAACATCTTGACCCAGGTACAACCTTCAGCTTGAAAAGATGTAAACCACTGAGTCTGGGAGAAGAGGCCAAGAGAAGGATCACTCTAGATGTGCCTTGTTTCTTCTTTTTTCCTTTTTTTTTTTCTTCCCTCTTATATATCTACTATTGATGATGGGCTGTTAGCCTGAGCCAGGAGGAAAGTTCAAGCATTTTTACAGTTTGCGTTAATTCAAATTAAAAGAACATTTTCTCTAAGGCTCAGAATCTCATCTTCTTTTGTTGAAAATGAGTGTATGAACACTTGCAGAAGCAATCTCAGGCATCATTTATTGTAGCTTTTCAAAAGTGTTCCTGAAAGTTTATCATCTATGGTCAAGCTCTACCTTCTATGCACAAAATTCAGCTGTAACGAGTTAATTGCAGCAGGCCTCCGTGAGTGCAGGGCTCCAGGACAAGGCTGGCTCCATTCAGCATCACGCCTAGCCCTGCCCTCAGAGCTTCTGTGTCAGCTGTGTGGCTGGGCATAGCTGAAGCCAGTTTGCTGCCTCTGGTACATGGCGCTGGAGAGCAGGAGAGAGACCATGATGCTTAGCAAAGAGCTTCTCAGTCCTGAGCTTCCACGCAAAGCGAGCCCGCCTCCTGATCTCCAGGTTAGGCACTATCTGTGTCATGAATGCCAGCTTCAGCTGGACAGAAAATATTAAGAAGTTTCACCTTGCTGCTTCTGATAATACCAGAGAATTTTCACCTTGCCTCCAGGCCCTATGTGGCTGCTTGGCATTTCACTTCCTTCCTCACTCTTACATGCTTATTTCTGTGGTTGTATGTGCAATTTCCCACTGGACGGCATCTACAGAAAAAACAGGGAGTTCATCCTCTGTGTGGACTATCCTGCAAGATATATCATGGGTTACCATGAATGACTTCCACAAGAAGTCCAGCACTTCTAACACAGAAGTGTTGGACTTCGCACACATATACAGAATATTCTCCATGCAGACATTAGAGAGTCAGCTGATGTTTGTGAAAGCATTAGAAATGCTGTTCATGTGCTGCATGACTGCATCGTGCTCTCAATGGGCATCCACCTATCATTTGACCTCTTTGAGCCTGCTAGATACCCAGAAAAACTAAGCAAATCCTCAAAACTCTCTTGGACAGAATTCCCAGGTGAAAAAGGAGGATATGTCTGGAACAATTGAGTCATTTAGCCAATGGGAGAATATGTAAAGCCTGTGTGTAAAAAATGCGTGCATAGGCCAAGTGACAGTGGATTACGCTGCCAGGCTTCTGCCTCTGCAAGGTTACACCATTACAACGCAGATCTTGGCCATTGCAGGGGTGGTTACCCCCATCCATAAGAGGGCTGTAGATGTGACCGTTAAGGATGCAGACTCATGTCACTGTCCTGATCCTTTCCAGCCCCTTCCTTCAGACACCTTATTTCCAGAGGTGGGATGTGTTCAGATCCAGTCCTGTCCTCCAGTTCTCCTGTCATTCTGTCCTTTCTCAGTTGGTGTGGGGTTGGGATTTTTCTTCCATGGCTCCTCTGGTGAGCAGGTGGCTGATGCTGCTAGTCTTGGATTCCACCCAAAAGGCCAGGCCAGGAGAAAGCATCATACTTGTGAGCATCCAGGTCTTGTGTTGAGCCTGATTTCTACCTGCCTCAGTGCTGAAACATAGGGTTTTAATAATTCTGGGATTATGTTTATCCACACTGCTCCAGAAAGGTCATAGAAAACAAGCATTCAGCCTCATGTTGTGTGGGATGTTTAACTTTGTATTATGCCAAGCTAAACACAGTGCTGGATAAACAAAGTGTAATTACACACCTTCCCCAGCACAGAGACAAAAGACAGGATGTAAACAGAGAGGACAGAAGTGTTTTACATCTTTCCTGAGATGAACTCTCTCTTTCCACCCTTTATTCCACAGTTCCCATCTCCTTTCCTCTGGGCTTTACTCACAGCTTCCCTGTCTTATCTGCCACAGGCGGTGTAAATTCTGAGATTTGGTCTTCCTGCAGGGATGGTTTCACTGACATATGTGATATGCATGTGTACCCCAGCAGCTGCCAGCAAATATTCTTAACATGACTTGGACAGTGTAGCTATCTTAATCCACTACAGACATCTTCATCCTATCATGATTAGATATAATTGTAACATTTTTCCAAGTTGGTCAATATAATGTGCAAATTCAAATAAAATTCTCCACCTGCAATGTTTGTAATTCCCCTTGAGCCTCTGCTGTTTGGCTTAATATATATATACACAGAAGACAAGAAGCCAACATTATTGAGGTCAATCAGTTTGGAAAGGAAGAAGGTTGAATGTTTCATTGGTTGCAGTGGTGGAGTTTGGGGTGTCTGAACAGTTGTTTAGGCTGACAGAATTCAAAACCTCATTGAGAAGACAAGATGCCTGTTCAAAATTTTTTTTTTTTTTTTTTAGAAAGAAAGGAGAGTAACTCCCCCAGTGCAGTTATCTTCTGTGAAAGCATCTACACACTCTAGATCGTTTACAAAGTTTATGAACTCTGTGGAAAGTCAGAATATGAAGAGTTTATACACTCTGTTATCTTCTCCACGAGTTCAGATTTTCTGCTTTAATCATATGACACTCATCTAAGCTTTGTCAGAAGTCTTTTGCTTTTCAAGCATATTTATCTCAAATAAATAGAGCTTTCTAGAAAAAAAATATCTCGTACGTTAGGACACTTACTAGAAATGAATGGAGTTTAGGATGAGGGGCTGAGGTGCAAACTGTAGCTCTGCAATGTTCTGGCCCTTGGAACATATAAAGGTCTCAAGCTTATAACATGCTTGAACCTTTAGAAAGAGAGAGACAAAGACTTTTTGGATAGATAATGAGCACAATGTGGAATGTATCTGTCTGGGACATGACTGAGCTTGCAAAGAAAATAGAGGTTAAAGCCTTTCATGAAGCTGGCACAGCACTCCTTTGCTTCTCTTGATTTTTGGATATATAGCCTCTCTTGAACAAGGTGTGTCTCACAAACCTGAGACACTTTTTCAGTGTGCAATTTATTCCACTGCAGGCTTTGAAGATGTTTGAACATGTGTGGGTTTGGTTGGGAGAAAATAGCTGATTTTATTTTACTAGTCCCAATGTGATGCAGAATAAGATGAAAAACTCGTGGCTATACTTGTACCACCTTATGTTCCACCTGGCCCTGTAGCTCTTCCATGTACAGATGCTGCCATCAAAATAACTGCAAGCTTATGGGTCTAAATTCAGATTGAAGCAGTTGGCTCATTAGCATGGTGCAAATAGAGATCTTGGGGGAAAAAAAATCAGGAAAAGGCATTTCCACATGACAATTAGAATCCAGTTCTTCAGTTATCTTCACATCATAGCACTCAGTTACAGGCCTTTTCCTAAGATGTGTGGACAGTTTAGTGGCTGTGGAGATTAGTGGAGGAGTGGATGATTTAGTCATCTGGGAAGTACACCTTCATGCATCTTGTCTTCCAGGCAAATAATGGGTAACTATGTTCTAGCTCATTCCACTTTTATTTTGGTCCATGAATTTTAATGCAATACTACAAGACAGGATGGCTACTATAGTATGATTATAACGGACAAAAAATTACTTCAAACAGGGCAGCAAATGAGTGTGTCTACAGGATAAGTGAAAGAAGGGAATGCTGCAAAAGGTAATATCCTCCTGGGGAAAGAAATATTCTGCTTTCGTCTCATAAGGACCTCACTGAGGATTAGATTTTCTTCCCTGTTTTGCCTGTGTCAGGCCCTTGGGTCCAGAGAATCTGTTGCTATGAGGAAGCACCATTTATTTTTCCAGAGGAACAACAAAAAGGAACTCACTTGCTGGAAATCACCAGCTAAAGATACAACAGCGAGGTGCTTGGTGCGGTTGGGAGCATCAAAGGACCTCTTTTGGTACTGCACCTACCATGGGCCTTGCAGGGCTGGCCCCACAGCTCTCCCTCTGGAAAATGAACTTCTCCAGCAGACCAGTGACTCATCACACCGGGGGCACAGGACAGACCAGACACCAAATTTCCCTGTTGCCACGCTGCCTACGTAAATCTGTTTTGCCTTCCCCCCGTTCCCATCACATCTGACAGCCAGCACCTAATCCCAGGCGTGGGGAAGCCCTCTCTTGCCTCAAGCTGAAGCAAGCGCCCAGAGCGGAGTGACACGGGGGTGTTTCCAGAGGGACGGGCTGGGAGACAGCCCCTCTCAGCAGGGCCTGGGAGGAGAAGCAGGCTGTCCCGGTGGCTCTTGGGCATCTGAGGCGTCTGCATGTAGGAACAGAGGTGAAGCAAACAAGTAGCTGTGTTTCTGAAGCACAGACCAGCTCAAGTCATGGGACCTATATTGCAGGCTTTCCTTGAA